TTTGATAATCTATTCCTCTTCCCATTGATTTAAAATACATTTTTTATATACAAAATTTGTGTGTGTGTGTGTGTATGTATAGCATATAGTACTGTCTCTGAAGCTTCCCATTGGCTTGTTCATCTATTACTGTTTTAAATATATCTGTAATGCTTCAAAACTAATATGTGTGCTGTGAAAACAATTACTCCCATTGGTTTTAAATTCCTCTAGTGGAACAACTTTTATACCTTCATGTTTTCTAGCATGCTGGATAATGATGATAAAATTATAGTTTATGTATAAGAATATATATGCATGATTGAATATAAAAATGCACGTTATGCTGCAGTTTTCAATGTGCTTTCATAAGAAGTTCCAAGTCATCTAGAAAAGAACATATTGATAAAGTAACACATTTCTCTATTTGATACAGTTTACATGATAAACTGATAGATTTTATCACCATTCTAAATAATTTCCCTCCCTACAAGAGGACTACATATCCCTTCCTACAAGAGGATTACATATCCCTTATAACTTGCAGTGCCTCCTGTTGGTCTTAGCCATTTGGCTTGTTTTGGCCAATGATACAAACAGATCTGACTTACATTATGTGTAAATAGAAGTGTTGATTATCATTGTGTGTTTTTGCCAACTTGCTCTCTCTATTCCCTCTGCTGTGAGAATAGCATGGCTCAGATATTAAAGAAGAAACATCTGGCAGAAGAATTACAATCAACCCATGGCTGATAAGCATTGTGAATGAGAAATAATCTTTTATTGTTTAAGCCACTGTGATTTGGGGCTTGTTACTGCAACCTTACCAATAAAAGCTGGCTCATCCACATGCCATGATGACTGCTGACAGTCATGTTTTGAGTGCAGTTAATCAGCTGGGTACATCTGACTCAGATGTCTAAAGAATTACCTGAAGGAGTTCTGTAACTCAAGAGTCTTTATGAAAAAGAAAAAGATTAATTAGAATTATTAGGACCTCACTGTGAACATGTACCACATATATTTTACTCGGCGGTTATTTTAAATATACTCAAGATACTAAGCTCTTTATAAGTAAAAGAGATATCTTTTAGCAAAGTTTAGTAATGGCAATTATTATAAAAATATAATTGGCAAAAAGAGAGAATCTCAAAGGAACTCAAGACCATTGGATATCTTCAGAATCTGAAACATGTCCAAGGCTGTACAGGGACAGTTGTGTGTGGTCACACAGGGTTATGGGTGCCCTGATTTAAGACTCTGATCATCTTCATTTCTGCTTCTCCTGGTGTCTTTTCCTTTCTTTTTATACCTACTGGCTTCCTTACAGTCTATTTTGTACCTTTTCTCCTCCTCATAGTTTCTTCTGCATCTGTAATTTCTGATTTTTAATGCCTTCAGCTTACTCATAAGTTTGGTTTGCTCCTGGCTCTTTCAAGGACATCTTGGAAACTTCAGCTCTCAACATTAGTTGCCTCATCTGTATTCTCCCATTTCAAATTCCTGATTTTATTTGACCCGGCTGTAGTGGGCTGAATCGTGTCCCCATCAAATTCATGTCTACTCAGAACCTCAAAATGTGACCTTATTTAGAATAAGGGCTTTTGCAGATTTAATTAAGTTATGGGTATCAAGATGAGATCATCTTAGAGTAAGGTGAGCCCTGAATCTGATCATGAGCATTCTTATAGGAGACAAAGGAGAAGAAATAGAGTCACAGGGAAGGGAAGGGCCATGTGAAGATGAAGGCAGAGATTAGAGGGTAGCCACAAGCTGAGGAATGCCAAGACTCATTAGCCATCTGACGCAGGAGAGAGGCATGAAGTGGATTCTCCTTTAGAGCTTCCAGAAGGGACCAATCCTGCCAACACCTTGATTTCAGACTTCTGGCCTGTAGAACTGTGAGAGAATAAATTTCTGTTGTTTTAAGTCATCCAGTTTATAGTGATTTGTTACAGCAGCTACAGGAAACTGATATCCCAGCTCATCTCTGAGGGCTTTTACTGTTCCTAGGCCATTGGTTGGGCTGTGGATTGGCCACCAGTGGGTGGAGTGCATAGAACTGGGTCATTAGTAAGGCTGTGGAAAGGGTTATTTCCTTTGAAAAGACACTGGATGTGGGAGACATGTAATTGGCATGTCCAAAACAAGTCAATGCCTAGCTTGCAGGCACCCATACTCTTCTTCCCTTATGGACAAAAATGTCTCACTTGATGTGATTCAGCTGTCCCACATAGCACTGCCTGTTGTCCATTGGGATGAACGTCTGGAGGCAATGTCACGGGGGCATTTCAAAATTTACTTGTCATTATCAGAATGTGCGTTTTTGGGGGCAGTGGCCGTTTCAGTGTCCTCTCTTTACCTGACATCCTGATTGATGTTACATCTTCGTTATTCAGTATCCTATAGATGAAACTGAAGTTCTCAAATCTGAGTGTGATCTACTTTAAAGGGACATGTACAGATGGAGAGTCTTAGTCCTGACTTCAGTCGTTTTAACAATCATGCTACCTTACAGTGTATTAAAGTGAAACTATAGGTGTAAACCTATAGAGTATAAAACTATGGCAAAGCTTTTCTTTAAGGCTCAGATAGCAGATATTTTAGGCTTTGGGAGCCGTGTCTTTTCTGTTGTGACTATTGTGGCATGAAAGCAGCTGTGGACAGTACATAAAGTGAATGAATGTGGCCGTCCTCCAGTATTTGGTGACAATGAAATTTGAATCTCATATAATTTTCACATGTCATGATATAGTCTTCTTTTTATTTTTTCCTCCAGCTATTTAAAAATGTAGAAACCATTCTTTGCTACTGGCTGTATAAAAACAAGCAGTGGGACATAGTTTGCACCTGGGCCATGGTTTGCCAACCTCTGCTATAGAAGATGCTTAATATTCCTTGTCCACCCATAGTCCCATCTCATTTTGCTAATAGGACCCTAATTTTATTTGGGGAACCTTTTCTCCACCTCTGCCTCTCATTGAAAACTGTCAGTCTGTCTGCTCCAGGTTATGCTACTGAAGGTATGGCCTTCACTATGGTGATTGGTTCAATTATAGTGAGTACTGCAGTTGCAGAGGATCTGCTTTCTCTCTTTCTGCAGAAACTTGTAGCAATAAGGACAAGATTGTAAGCCTGGAGATACCAGAGGCTACCACATGAATCTTAAGAATGAAGCTGACACAGCAGAAGGCTGAGCCAAGAAACTACGAGAAACTGAATTTTGATTACATTTTTTGAGCTCCTGGATCAAACCACTCATGACACTAAACAACCCCAAGGCTTTTCCGCTACATGAATAAATACATTTTCTTTCCTATTTAAATGAGTTGGAGTTTGGGTTCTCCATCACTCACAACAGCAGGGTACTAACTAAGGCAAAACCTTTTACCTCTACTGTTTATTATAACAACAAAACAAAGTTTAAAATGAGATGCCAACTTAATTGCCAAACCAGAAAAGTTCAAATCAACAACGTTATAGACATTGTTGTTTTACTGAAATGAAATTTCTTTCCCAACGTGACTGTGGCATTGGCTAATACGTTGTGGGTTGTTTTGAGTTCTGGGCACCTCTGTGTCCTACACATAAGGTGTGTGCTATGTCATGAATCGTTTCTTCATTGCTTTTCTCTATTCGAACTATTGCAAAACCTTCATTCACAGAGCTTGTTGTGATTCAGTCTTCCCTTGGTACAGATGTTTAATTTACTTAATAAGTCAGACTCTTTTCTCAGTTGCTAAAACAAAGAAGAACATCATTGTGCTTGACTTTCAAATCATATAGATATCAAATTAAAGCCTTATTTTATTAAATTACTTAAGCCAAAGTCTTTGATCTATGAAAATATTTTTCAACCATGAATGGAAAATAAAGCTTTGTATTTTCAACAGGAGACAGATTCACCTGTAGTGACTGTGTCAGCCTTTGGGACATGCAAGCTCTCAGGATGTAGGCTAGCCTATGAGGTCTAGTCTGGCTTCATTCATTTGTGGCCCTTTTTCTGCACCATCCACTGGCTCCCACTTGAATCCTATGATCCCCTTCATTGGTGTGGTCTGTTACTTCTGTTAGGGATTTTAAACTAATGCACAATTTGTTAGGCCTCTTTGTCTACAGTTGCATGAAGTCCCCCTGCTACTGTAATCTGTACTTGTGCTACTTGTTTTAACCAGGAATGGTGTATTAGTTACTTATTGCTCCCCAAATCCTGCAAAGATCTCAAAAACCCCATGGCCTATAACTTGAAGCATTTATATTCTTGCTCACAGGCCTGCAGGTTAGCAGAGGAGGCTCTGCATTAGGCTGCAGGTTAGCTGGTCTTGGCTCTTGGCTTTAGGTCAAGTGTAGAACTACCTGTGTACCTTACTCCAGGACCCAGACCAAAGGGCAGCAGCTAGCTGACACATGCCTCTTTATGGCAATCAGAGGAGTGCTAAAGACTGAGCCAAAAAACGTAGAGACATTTAAGTCCTTTGTGCACGTCCTATTCACTGACATCCCATTGACCAGAGCAAGCAACGTGGTGCATCAACAGAGTTAGGAAATACACCTATCTGCTCTAGCGTGCTGTAGGTTTACATGGCTGAGGGATGAGGGAAGAATTGTGAACAATAATCCAATCTAGTACATATGGCTTCACTTTGTCCGAACTCAGTCTCTACAACTCCAGCCCTCTGATCTCAAATTCTACTGCTAACATGCCCTGTGGGAGTGAGAGGGCTTTCTATAGCTAGTTTGGATTTTAAGGGAAGAGAATAGTTTCCAGATAGCTTAATGGCCATAAATCCAGTTGCTGTTACAGCTGAGTTTCCATTTTGGCTCAACGTTCTGGCTTCTTTGTGGATTTATTTTTATGATGAAATTAATATTTTAAAATACATTAAGATTTAATTTTGTATTTTAACACGCTAAAAAAATTAAAATGTACATGATTTTATTCTTTGATGTATCCTTAAATATATACAGTGTAACTAGTAAGACTTAAGGGGTCTCATTCACAGCCAGATTTGTAGGCCCTGACACAGTGCTGGGCACCTAAGGTATGCTCAGTAAATTCTTGTTGCTTGAAGTACATTGCTTTCTTATTTACTAATGATTATTACTGATCAATAGGTAGTAACGTGTACATGAATGGACATTTTCTTTTTTAATATAATTATTTATATATAATTTATGTCCTCCAACTTCATCAGTCTGTTAACTATACCAAAAAAGGTGTTCATAATGTTATGTGTAGAAAGGTGATAAGTTAAGTTTGTGTTTGCTTTTTTTAGGACTAATACAAATTGTTGGTTGTGGTTTTTCTTAGGTTTGTTTTACAAATTATTTATTTACATATCACTTGGATGTGCTAAGGGTCCTTAGAAGAGTATCTACATGGATAGTTAAAATATGTACCAATCCAGGAAAAGTCTGTTAATTTTCAAGCTTGTAAGTGTCAGCCAGTGAAAATGCCATTTTAATTACTTGTGAAAAGCATTTAAAATTAAAATCATGTATGCTATAGATATTAAAGGACCATAATGCATGAGAAAGGTAGTAAAAAGAGTAAGTCCTCCTTGAAAGAGTATTTCCTTCTCAGAAGGAAGTAGACTAATTCCTCAAGTTGATTTTATGAAAATTGAACGCATCATGGAACAAAAAGAGCTTAATTGAAAGACAGTTTGCTTTTTATAACATGTCACCTACTTAAGAGAAGAACAAGACTGAAGTAATGAAATGCCTTCTTGGGTTTTTTTCAGTGATTCTGAAAGTTCAGGCTGTTTCCTTTGCTTTCTTACAGGAAACATTTATTATAGCTTAAACAGGCACTAATGTCTCAAGTTATAATCATCTTGCCAGATATGCTTATGGCGTAAAGAAAGGAAGGAAACTAATATTCACGAAATGTCTCCTCTATGCTTGGTAAGGTGCTAGGAGCAAAGACTTGTTAAGATGAGAAATATTCTCATTTCCGAAAAGAGGAAACTAGGCTCAGAAAGATTAAATGGCAGAGTTTTGTTGAGTCCAAAATCATGTTCTTTGGCATGAGCCAAAACCCAAGAAAACCATCCATTTGCTGGTGCAGTAAACTGGCATGAACTCCACTCGCAAGTTCAACAATTGCAGTGTAGTAAAACCAAGTTTTATTTGGTGATAAATAACAGCTATGTACATTTGTTTTGCAATAGACAAATCGCAGTGGTCTCAAGTCCTACAGTGGGTATTCCCCAGTGCCACATAAGATGCCCCGAGGAGTGGTTCAAATGTGGGTCTGCCCCCTAGATGCTCCCCAGTCTTGGGCTTTAGTGGACACGTTGACTTCTCCCGGCTGGAATTTCTCTCTGTGGTTTTCCCTGCTGTGGCTGCAGTGCTGACCTTCCTCCTCGCCTCCAAATCCACCTCCTCTTCTGGTGGTGCCTTGTTTTTCTCGTGCTTCTAAGCACACTTTCCGAGTCTGGTGAAGCCTCCAGACATTCTACTTTGACATTTCTTGATTTAGAGGAAGGCTTCCAAATGCCTTCTCACCCAGGCAGAAGTTTTCTCTTTCATCAAATACTTTTCCCAAATTAGAGGGTTCTTTCCTTGATTATCAATTACAAACATTTATCTAGAGCTTGTTGTTTTGACAATCTGCCGCTAATCTTTTCATCCTGTCCTCAAAGAATTTATAATCTACCTAAGGAGAAAAGCTATTTACATAAAAATAAAAGCTGTCAAATGAGAGCAAGGGATGGAAGAGTGAGCGGTACAGGGCTCCAGAGGAGGAAAGGGTGAACGTGGATGCTGTGGTTTTGAGGGAGCTGAAACTAGAGTAGGCCTTGAAAGCACGTGTTGACCACAAGTCCTCCACCCCCCAGCCTAACTAATCTCACTCTGGCCGCCAGTAAAGGACACATCAAAGGCGTGAGGAACACAATGGGGCTGCGATTCTGGAGGAACAAAGGCATCCACATACTCTTTCTCGGACGCTGAGTCATCTTCCCTCTCCCTCTGCGGAACTTTAAGAGGGTTTGCTTTCTTCTTGATCTGTGACTTCACTCTCAGAGCTCGGAGCTTAGGAGAAAAGATGGTCTGGCTCTGCTCTGGGCCTAGAGGGAGGACATACTTGTGGTTTCTGTCTTGTCTGGCCCAGCTCACAGTGTAGGAGAGAAATATCAGGCAGAAACTCTAGTCATAGAAATAGCGCATTTGCATTTCCCTCGAAAGAGCTCAGTGTCCTATCTCTCTAGAGACCCTATACTATGGTGAGGCAGGATAGCAATAAAAACTGGCTACAGGCTCAGATTTGCTAATAAAAAAATATTGTCCCTAAAATAGTTGTTCTAAGTATAGCAGTAAGTGTTGAGAGAGGTCCAGAAGACTTCAGCAGAGCTAAATGCAGAATTTGGAAACATATCTGATTAATATTCCATTGCTCCAGAAGTTGACAGCACTAGGTACTCAGGGTACATGGAATCAGAGGTTTTCTGTGCTTCTAGGTGCTTCACATCCACTCCTAACACCTGGTGAGGTGGTAGCTTCATTATAACAGACTAGAGAAGTTAACTTGCCCACATTTATGAAACTGTTAAGTGACTGATTGGTTCAACACTTGTTGGGATGTGAACATAGGTTCATGGATTACACTAATTTTTATTTAATGTAATTGATGAATTAGCAACCTGAGGGTCAAATGAATAGTTCTGGACTGTTTCACTGCTCTAATTTACTAATTCAGCTGAATTTTAATGTGTATGGGGATGCTGATGAATGGATGGTTCTGATGATTAATTAATTAAATGACTCTCCCAAGTATTATATTTGCATTTGTAACTGCCACTAGGATATACCTTAACCCAGTTATTTTTTTTTAAGCAATGTAAACTTGCTATAAATGAAAACTTACTCCAAAGCCCCTTATGTAGAAGGACCTAAAGCACAGCAGCTCTGGCTCAAATGCGATGGTGTGGGGGCGGGGGTGGACTTACAAGGTCCTTTTTTTCTCCATGCATTTCTTCCTCTGCGAGGTCGTCCCTGACTGACTCCAGTGGAACTCTGTGCCCTGAATTATACATGTAATGACCAATCTCAAACTTAATCCAAGCGGGATGAAAACTCTAATCAGGTTGGTCTCCAGAGGTGTTCAAGTGTACACCCCACAGGTGGACGCTGAGACGTTCATGGCAGCTAAACCTCGCCTAGAGCTCAGAACTCTCTTTCCTATTGAGGGGACTGACCTCATCTAGATAGCAGAAATTTTCTCTGGCCACTTACGTCATTTTGATTGTAGAAGTTAGACAAATTACATTTTGATTATAAAAGTTAGACAAAAAGAATTTTGGTTGTCTCCAAAATTCACATCATCTTATGGTAGGGACTAGGGGAAGGGAGTGGTGCAGCTCAGACAACTCTGTTTGATTCTGAGAGTTGCCCCAACTTACTTCCTCTACCTGACCCCAGTCCCAGAATGAAAAATATAATGTAATTGTTATGTTGTGATACTTCAACTTAGTAGTGAAGAATGTTTTTAACTTCTTTAGGAAAATATAACTGCAAAGACTGATTGTAATGTATATCCACATGCCAGAATTTTACTGATATTCTCTTTATAAATGCATTTCTATGAAGATTAAAATTTTGTATTTAAAAAGTTTTTTTTAAAATTGAAGTATAGTCAGTTACGATGTGTCAGTTTCTGGTGTACAGCATAATATTTCAGTCATACATATAAATGTATTCTTTTTCATATGAAAATGAAAAATTTTTAAATGTTAACTTTACTTGTTATTTTCATTAAGTTGATTCTGGTAATGAGCTCAGGAACACAAAATTCACATTGCACATCATGTAAATCAAGTTTCTCAGGCGTTCCTAGTGCAATTTGATAAAACATCTTTTCTTAGGTCCTTTATTGTCTCTGGAAAAATAAATTA